CACTGAGATTTAAAAGTCCTGAGAAAGCCAGGCGTGGTGGCTTACACCTGTAATCCCAGCATTTTGGGAGGCCAAGGTGGTTGACTCACAATCACCAGCCATGGTGAAACCCTGTCTCCACTGAAAATACAAAAATTGGGCCGAGCGAGGTGGCTCACGCATGTAATCCCAGCACTTTGGGAGGCTGAGGAGGATGGATCACGAGGTCAGGAAATCGAGACCATACTGGCTAACACGGTGAAACCCCGTCTGTACTAAAAATACAAAAAATTAGCCGGGTGTGGTTGCTAGCTACTCAGGAGGCTGAGGCAGGAGAATGGCTTGAATCTGGGAGGCGGAGGTTGCAGTTAGCCGAGATTGCGCCACTGCACTCCAGCCTGGGCGACAGAGCGAGACTCTGTCTCAAAGAAAAAAAACAACACACACACACACACACACACACACGCACACAATTAGCCGGGTGTGGTGGCGTGCACCTATGTTCCGGTTACTCGAGAGGCTGAGGCTGGATCACTTGAGCCTGGGAGGTCGAGGCTGCAGTGGGCTGTGATTGTGCCATTGCACTCCAGCGTGGACAACAGAGCGAGATCCCGTCTTAAAAAAAAAATTATCGCCTGAACCCAGGAGGCGGAGGTTGCGGTGAGCTGAGATCGCGCCATTTTTTTGCACTCCAGCCTGGGTAACAAGAGCGAAACTCCGTCTCAAAAAAAAAAAAATTCTTGGCCGGGTGCCATGGCTCACGCCTGTAATCCCAGCACTTTGGGAGGCCAAGGTGGGTGGATCACCTGAGGTCAGTTCAAGACCAGCCTGCCCAACATGGCGAAGCCCCGTCTTTACTGAAAATACAAAAAACTAGCTGGGGTGGTGGTGCGTGCCTGTATAGTCCCAGCTACGTGGGAGGCTGAGGCAGAGGAATCACTTGAACCCCGGAGGTGGAGGTTGCAGTGAGCTGAGCTCCCGCCGCTGCACTACAGAATGAACTCCCTCTCAAAAAAAAAAAAAAAAAAATTCCCGCAAAATCAAAATCCTGTTTCCATTAGCAGTTACTCGTCATTATCTTTGAATACTTCCCTTGTCCCCATCTCTAGGCACATTTTATCTCATAGGTTTGCCTATCCCGAATATTTCACATAAATGCAAACACAACCGTAGGTATATTTCATATAAATTGCCCCCATTCCTAGGTGACCACTAATCTGCTTTCTGTCTCTATAGATTTACCTATTATGAACATTTCATATGAATACAGTATGTAATCTTCTGTGGCTGCATTATTTCACTTGGCATAATGTTTTCATGCTTCATCCATATTGTAGTATATATCTTTCTTCTTCGTTGCCAGGAAAACGCCATTGTATGGTTGGATATGCCACATTTTGCTTCTCCATTATCAGTTGATAGTCATTTGAGTTGTTTGTACCTTTTTTTGGCTATTGTGAATAATGCTGCCACAAAAATTCACTTAAAAGTTTTTGTGGACATTTGCTTTCAATTCTCTTAGGAATATACACCCAGGAGTAAAATTGCTGGGTCATTTGGTAATTCTATATTTAACTTTATGAGGAACTGCCAAACTGTTTTCAAAAGCAGCAGCACCATTTACAATCTTACCAGCTGTGTATGAGGATTCCAATTCCTCCACATCCTCACCACTCCTTGTCATTATCTGCATTTTGATTGTAGCTATCGTAGTGGGTATAAAATGATGTCTCATTATGATTTTGATTTGCATCTCTCATGCAAATCTTTTCATGTGCTTATGGGTCATTTTTGTATCTTCCTTGAAGGCATATTTATTCAGATCTTCAGATCCTTTGCTCATTTCTAAATTTGGTTTTTTATCTTTTTATTACTGTATTAAAAGGTTTTCTTATTTTTTTGACAGTCTCACTCTGTCACCCAGGCTGCAATGCAGTGGTGCGATCTCTGCTCACTGTGACCTCCACCTCCTGGGTTCAAGTGATTCTCCTGCCTCAGCCTTCTGAGTAGCTGGGACTGCAGACGCACACCACCACGCCCAGCTAATTTTTTTGGTGTGGTTTTGTGTGTGTGTGTGTGTGTGTGGTATAAGCAGGATGTTTAGACACATTTTTTTGGTATTTTTTAGTACAGATAGGGTTTCACCATATTGGCCAGGCTGGTCTCAAATTCCTGACCTTGTGATCCACCCACCTCAGCCTCCCAAAGTTCTGGGATTACAGGTGTGAGCCACCATGCCTGGCTCTGTGTTGTAAGTTTTAAGTGTTCTTTTTTGTTTTTTTTGGAGACAGAGTCTCGCTCTATCACCAGGCTGGAGTGCAGTGGCACGAGCTTGGCTCACTGCAACTTCCGTTTTCCGGTTTCAAGCAATTCTTCTGCTTCAGCCTCCGGAGTAGCTGGGACTACAGGCACGCACCACCACGCCTGGCTAATTTTTTGTACTTTTAGTAGAGAGGGGGTTTCACCATGTTTGCCAGGATGGTCTCGATCTCTTCACCTCGTGATCTGCCCACCTCGGCCTCCCAAAGTGCTGGGATTACAGGCGTAAGCCACCCCACCTGGCAGTTTTAAGTATTCTTTACATATTCTAGATACAGGTCCCTTATCAGATACATGTCATGCAGTAATTTTTCCCAATTCTATGGGTTGTCTTTCTACATTTTTCAGGGTATTGTTTGTAGCACAAAGTTTTAAAAATTTTGATAATGTCCTATTTTTTTCCTTTGTTGCTTGTGCAAAAAAAGCCAGATGAGATTTTGATAGAAATTGCATTGAATCTGTAAATCAATTTGGGGAGTATGCCATTTTAACCAAATTAGGCCTTCCAATCTATGAACATGGGATCCTTTCCGTCACTCCAATATTTTCCAATATGTATGTTCAGTTTTCCTACCTCATACCCAGTCAGAGACACAATCCAGGTCTATGGTATGGTGGTCAAAAGCACAGATTCTTTCTTGAGTTAGGCAGATATTACAGGTTAATATCCCAGCCCTTTTACTGACTAGCTGTGTAAATATGGACAAATTAACTTTTCTAGGCCTCTGTTATCTCATCTGTAAAGTGCATTTTTTTTTTTTTTGAGACAGGGTCTCTGTTGCCAGTCTGGATGGAGTGCAGTGGCATGATCTCGGCTCACTGTGGCCTCAACCTCGTGGGCTCAAGCAAGCCTCCTATCTCAGCCTCCTGAGCTACTCAGCTGGGACCACCGGTACATGCCACTATGCCTGGCTAATTTTTGTATTTTTTGTAGAGATGGTATTTCATGTTGTTCAGGCTGGTGTCTTGAACTCCTGAACTCAAGCAATCTTCAGCCCCAAACTGCTGGGATTACAGGTGTGAGTCACCACACTCAGCCTAAAGTATGAATTTTAATACTATCTCATAGAATGTGAGGATTAATGACAAACACATGGGACACTTAGCATAGTGCCTGGAACACAGCAAATGCTCAGTCTGAGCTATTTTTATTATTATAGCACTTAACAATTACTACAAAAAATCGTTATTTTGACTTTTTAAATTATTAGAGCCCCAATTTCCCCCTAAGCATGATTCTCCATCTCCTTAGAATCCATTGACTTTCTATCTTGCTTCTCTACAATTTTCTGTGTCTTCCTTAAGGATAATGAACCAATCTGGGTTTTTTTTTTTTTTTTTTTTTTTGAGATTATGTCTCGCTCTGTCACCCAGGCTGCAGTGCAGTGCTGTAATCTCAGTTTACTGCAACATCTGCCTCTGGGATTGAGCGATTCTTATGCCTTAGCCTCCTGAGTAGCTGGGACTACAGATATATGACACCACACCTGCCTTAATTTTTGTATTTTTAGTAGAGGCAGAGTTTCACCATGTTGGCCAGGTGGGTCTCAAACTCCTGACCTCAAACAATGTGCCTGCCTTGGCCTCCCAAAGTGCTGGGATTATAGGCGTGAGCCACCGTGTCTGGCCTACTCTGATCTCATTTCTGACCACCATGCTCTTTCTTAAAATGTGCAAGACACACTCCCACGCCAGGGTCTTTGCCTATTGCTCTGTCTACAAATCTCTTCCCATAGATATGAACTTGGTTTCTTCATCACCTTCTTCAGGGTCTTTGTTTAAATATTATCTTAACAATGAGGCTGACTATCCTACATACAACAGCAAACTAATCCATTTACCTTGCTTAATTTTTCTTTCTAAGCTTTATAACCATATGACACATTTACTTGTTCGTCTTCCCCTTTTAGAATGTAAGTTACATGAGGACAGAGATTTTCTTGTTTTGTTTGCTGCTGTATCCTACTCCTATAACAGTCCCAGGTGCATTGGGTACTCATTAAATATATGTTGAATGAGTGGACTTCAAAAATGTCTTCTCTTGGCTGGGCATGGTGGCTCACACCTGTAATCCCGCCATTTTGGGAGGCCAAGGTAAGTGGATCACTTGAGATCAGAAATTCAAGACAGGCTGGCCAACATAGTGAAACCCTGGCTCTACTAAAAATACAAAAATTAGCCAGATGTGGTGGCACATGCCTATAATCCCAGCTACTCATGAGGCTGAGGCAGGAGAACTGCTTGAACCCCAGAGGAGGAGTTTTCAGTGAGCCAAGATAGTGCCACTGCTCTCCAGCCTGAGCGACAGTGACTCCATCTCAAAAAAAAAAAAAAAAAAAAAAAAGTGTCTTATCTCATAGGGAAGTAACTTTAGTAGTACAACGAGAAGAGAGCAGAACCAAAGTATTTCTGTTAGGAGACTGCTTCCAGTCAAATGGAATGCTCTTCCTCTGATCAAGAAATAAATCCTACCATAAGCCAAAACAAATCTATACAGATTCCTATCCTTTTAAATTGGAAGAATTCCATGAAATTTTAGAGCTGGTTCCAAAGTGTGCAGACAGATAACTAGATATATAGAAAGGCTGAAAGGTATCTGATTCCCACCCCTACTTCATTCCAACCCCAGCCTCATTATGCCTTCTGTGTATGAGGGTGGATTTAATGACTTTATCTTTTTTAATTAAAAAATGGATCGGGCAGGGTCTGGGAAAGGGACAGCAGGTGCCATGTCCGGCTGGGAAGGTAGCAAGAAGATGCCCCTGAAACAACCCAAGAAGCAGGCCAAGGAAATGGACGAGGAAGATAAGGCTTTCAAGCAGAAACAAAAAGAAGGGCAGAAGAAACTCGAAGAGCTAAAAGCAAAGGCCACAGGGAAGTGGCCCCTGGCCACAGATGGAATTAAGAAATCTGGCAAAAAGTAAGCTGTTCCTTGTCCCTGAGGAGATGGTGACCCTTTATTTCATCTGTATTTAAACATCTGTAAAATGTCTTCTCTTGGCTGGGCATGGTGGCTCACACCTGTAATCCCGTGTGAGCCACCAGCATCTTTTGCCACGTATAGCTGGAATTAAGTGTTGTCTTGGAGCTATTGTACATTTAAGAATAAACTTTTGTATAAAAAGAAAAAAGTACAGTGGCTTATCATCTCTTTAGCTGTTTTCACTAAGTCATTCCTACCATAACTGTGAATTTAAAGTAAAACCAGCTCAGAATCTTGCCAGAGTCTGATCTTTGGTCCTTGTTCTACCTTAAACTTTGTATCACCTGAAATTAAACCAACTCGTTTGAAAGGACAAGAAAAAAAAAATGGATCTAATGCTATCGACTTTCTCCAAGGATACAGTACTTCTCTTGGTAATAAGATCTTAGAGGATCATGCTTTTGACAATCATGGTTAACTTGCAGTTGGAGAACACAGCAGCGTGCCTGGGAACTGAACTACAATTCCCAGAGTGCATCTCTAAGAGGATTCTGGGAAGTGTGGCAGAAGCAGCAATGATCTCTCCGGGGAAAGGAAGCCACTGAACATGAACCTTTGGAGTTTCCTTCTTCCTGCTGATTCCTGAGGACTAGGAAGGTGCCCCGAAAATAATTCAGAGTGAGTACAGTCAAACAGAAACCTGCTCAGTTTCTAAGTGCAGGAAGGACTTCACAGGGAGACATGATCATAACTTGAAAAAAGGTCTTGGTAACAGCATTTTACCATTTTTGCTTAATCTCTTCCTTGTTGCAGAAACCAGGAATATGACCATAGTTTTGTCTCACAACTGTAGAGCTATCTCAGTAACCACAGCTAATAATTTTCTGATACTTTTTTGGAGACTCATTTAAAAATGGAACTTGCTAACTTCTCACATTGTGCCTAAATATTTATTTATTCATTTTTGAGACAGGGTGTCACTCTGTCGCCCTGGCTGTAGTACAGTGGCACAATCTCGGCTCACTGCAACTTTTGCCTCCTGGGTTCAACTGATTCTCATGCCTCAGCATCCTGAGCAGCTGGGATTACAGGTGCCTGCCGCGATACTCGGCAAATTTTTGTATTTTTGTTGTTGTTGTTGTTAATTTTTGTATTTTTAGTACAGACGGGTTTCACCATGTTGGTCAGTCTGGTCTGGAACTCCTGACCACCCAAAGTGCTGGGATTACAGGAGTAAGCCACCGCGTCCAGCCTGTGTCTTAATTTTTGAGTTAAGGGAGGAAAAATTATTTTTTAGAAAGCAAACTGTAAAGCAGGTCAGTGAGACCTTCAAAGCTGTATTCCCATGGTTCCTCAGTTTTCCATATTTCCCCATCCCGAGGAGGTCCACAGTCATAGAGAAATGGACTCTCAAAACAGCTCTCTTAAATATTAGGGAACCTGGCCTCTTCTCAGTAGAAGTAACCACAAGATTCAAGATGTGCTTTTTGTCATGCTGTAGTGCTTTGTAAATTAATCTTTCTCGGCTGGGAGCGGTGGCTCAAGCCTGTAATCCCAGCACTTTGGGAGGCCGAGGCGGGTGGAGCACGAGGTCAAGAGATGGAGACCATCCTGGTCAACATGGTGAAACCTCGTCTCTACTAAAAATACAAAAAATTAGCTGGGCCCGATGGCGCATGCCTGTAATCCCAGCTACTCAGGAGGCTGAGGCAGGAGAATTGCCTGAACCCAGGAGGCGGAGGTTGCGGTGAGCCGAGATCGCGCCATTGCACTCCAGCCTTGGTAACAAGAGCGAAACTGTCTCAAAAAAAAAAAAAAAAAAAAAAATTAATCTTTCTTCTGGAACGATGAACAGGATAAGAGATATGTGAGAATCATTTGTCACGGAGGGAGCGTTCAGAGAAAATATTAATGTTAAAGAACCTTGCATCATCATTTAATAGTTGGGAAGAGTGCTATTACCTTTCATCTCTTTCAAACATTGGACTTTTAAAAATATAAATAGCTCTGTGACGATCAACTCATGAGTCAGCAGGCCATGATAATCTACAACTGGCTAAGGTTAATTTAGTAGCAGAGAGTAGGCAAAACATCAAGCAGCAGTTCCCAGGGTCCAAGAAACTCACCAAATGAATTCCTTTGGCTCAAGGAATAAGCTGAGGTGTTTTTGGGAACTTTGGCATGGAGGTAACTTAAGCAGTTTGTCTCAGGAACTACTATTTTATAGGCTTTTCTTTTGCCTTAAAAGGAATAAGTACACATGGCTAATTTTTTTTTAAGTATAGAAAAATAAATAAAGTAAAAATTACAGGCACATTTTTCAATCTTTATCTTCACCCCACTCCCTCAAATTAGTCGCTCCTGACAGTTTGGTATGTATAGTTCTAGTCATTTGAAAAATATAAATAAATACATATAATTTATGTGTATTAGTATATAAATGTCTGTGTCCTTTTTTTTTTTTTTTTTTTTTTGAGATGGAGTCTCACTCTGTCACCAGGCTGGAGTGCAATTGTGCAATCTTGGCTCACTGCAATTTCTGCCTCCTGGGTTCAAGCGATTCTCCTGTCTCAGCCTCCTGAGTAGCTGGGACTACAGGTATGGGCCACCATCCCTGGCTAAGTTTTGTATTTTTAGTAGAGATGGGGTTTCACCATGTTGGCCAGGATGGTCTCAATCTCTTGACCTCATGATCCACCTGCCTCAGCCTCCCAAAGTGCTGGGATTACAGGCGTGAGCCACTTCACCCGGCCATTTCTTTATAAACTAATTAGTTCATGTTAACCAACTGTTACTTTTTTTTTCTCCAGCTTTATTAAGGTATAATTAACCAAAAAATATCTGTATTTATAGTTTACAATGTGATGTTTTGATACAGGTATACATTGTGAAATGATCAAATCTAGCAAACTAGTATATCCATTACCTCACCTATTTATTTTTTTGTGGTGAGAACAGTTAATATCTACTTTCTTAGTAATTTCCAAGTATGTAATACATTATGAACTATGTTACCATACAGCCCAGTAGCTATCCAGAATTTATTCATCCTAACTGAAACTTTGTACACTTTGACCAACATCTCCTCCAATTTCCTCCTTGCTTTTTTTGTTTACTTAATAATATATTCTAAGTATCTCTCCCTGTTACTATATATATATTTTTCACTGTTACATTATTTTCTATTTGTTCTTAAGTCCCATACTAATCCATCTTATCATAATTTTCAGTTAACTTGTACTATCCTTTCCTTCCTAGGGTAAATTCCTAAACATGGAATTTTGAAAGTAAAAGGGAGGCTTAATATTTGACACTTTAATAGATATTTCCAAATCAACCTATAAAAAATTATACCAGTTTACATTCTGAGTGCTGTATGAGCCAGAAATAATGACTTCAAATACATTTTTTCTAGTATGTCATACTAGTTTTGAGGTTACTAAAGTAGGAATAATACTTTTAATAACCTCCTAGCGTGCTTTGCAACCCACATATCACATACTGCCTTCTGTGAAAGCTGGCTAGATGTTTGTTTTCTCTCTCCTGCTAGAGTTCCTTGAGGGCAGGGATTTTCATCCTTTACATTTTTGTGTTCTTTAGGGGACCGTGAATAAAGTCAGTACTCAATAAATACTTTGCTGAATGTCATTTACTAAATATATTTTACCCATGGCTAGCACATAGATTGTAGCCAAAATTGTCCAAGGATTCGTCATCAGTGATTCATGATTATGCAATCAGGAAGTAGGACTAAACTTTAGATGTTCCTTGGTCATTTAGTGTCAAAGCTTGCTTTCTTGAGGCACAGTGAAAGGGTGGTTGGTTATTTAACTGTACTGAATTCTTGGCTCTTTTTTCTTTTTACTGCCAATGTGAAAGGTACTCTTCATGGGGAATAAAATACTGATATATAATTTAAAGGGACCAGCTCTGCCAGAATGGATTCTTCAGTTACAAATTTTTTTTTTCGTTCCCAATAAGCTACAAAAAATATAGAAAATATCTTGGATCCATGTGAATTTGCATAGTTGCCTTCTGAAAAAATTTCCTAATGCTGTGACTATATATATATATATATATATATATTTTAATTGTACTTTAAGTTCTGGGGTACATGTGCAGATCTTGCAGGACTGTTGCATAGGTACACACATGCCATTGTGGTTTGCCGTCTCCATCCCCCCATCACCTACATCGGGTATTTCTCCCAATGTTATCCCTCCCCAACCTCCCCACCCCCACTGTCCCTCCCCTAACTCCCACCCCCCATCATTATATATTCTTATCTACAGGATTCCTTCTACTTCATTCTTATTCTAGGTAGGTAGAACAGGTTTCAGTTTTTCAGATTATGAAAGAAGTACTGAAATGATGAGATCCCATACATACTTAAGGGTAGAAATACAATTTAGAAAGAAGATCACCTGACTCCTGTTGAACTTGTCTTTCCCATCCTGGCTTAAAATATAACCCTCTTGGCAATGCATTACTTTAAATTTCATATTATGACTTGTTTTAAACTCCTTTTTTTTTTTCCTAAGGACCTGACAATGTCCCTGTATTGTGGAATAGCTTTCAAGAGAAAATTATTTTGGTGCTATAGGCTGCTGTCAACCTATGTTACTAAGACACGGTGAGTTTTGACCAGCTGAGCTCTGATTATTCCGTTTGGCCCATTAAATTATTGTGATATTATCATTATATATATATATTTAAAATTAGGTTTAAGATTATATACATCATTATATATATATATATATATATATATGTATGTGTGTGTATATAAACTCATAACTCCCATGGGCTCATAACTCCCATGGCCCTTATTACAGTCTTTTGTTATAACATGGGACACTTTAGACCTCAGGGGCAGGCCTCAGGAAACAAAATCTCTTTTACCTTCTCCTGTCCTTTTACCTGCCTACGGCAGGGCTGTAATCTGACTGCGGGTCCAAAGACCTTCATTCCAGAGGGGTCATGCCCCATACTCCAAAGGAAGGAAGGCTGCATAGAGAGGCCAAGAAGAACCTGAACAGACAGGCCTTGCTGAGTTTCC